TATAGACATCTGAAAAACATTACAATTTGTCGCATGGGCTGGAGGATTTATTTGATTGTTCCGAATATTCGCGCAAAGTTATTCAAGGGCTATGTGCGCTAGCCGTTCCTAATTTTGAATTGATAGACTAGTGGAAAGGCAGCTAGTCAACAGCGCCCACCGCCTACTCTTGAGCTACTCTTGTCTGACCGAACAGATTTGACCATAAACCTTATAACACCCTAAACCCTAAAGTGCTTGTTGTTGTTGTTGGGACGCGAAGGTTGGACCCAGAGATCTATAGTCTGGCATTCTAACCACGCTTGAACCTGGTTTGGAAGAATCTGAAAAACAAAGACAAAGGCACTGAAAGTATCAGGCTCAAAGCTTTCGGTCTCCGTATGCATTGTTGTGGCTGTTGTAAGAAAACAACATTTGTCTTAATTAAAAATAAAAAATAAAATAACACAGACATACTGCATTTACTTTACGTAGACAATCTTACTATAAAAACAAAAAGAAGACGGTAGAGGTAAGTTTAAAAAAAAAAGAGGAAAAAGAGTAACTCAAGAGTGGGCGGTGGGTACAAAGTTCTTGTTGTGAATGGATTATAACTAACGAGTAAAAAAAAACTTATTTTTCAACTTATAAGAAAGAGATTTCATTAAATAAGTTTGTAGTATTACTTAATGGTGCTAGTCCGTTCGTTATAAAATCTTCAGATTTTTTATAACAGCAACTGTATTTACGGGCTTATAACGCTAAAATCTGAGGTTCGATTCTCCGTGGTGGACAATAACGCAGATAGCCCATTGTGTGGACTTGCGCTAAAAACAAAGAAAGAAACACTAGTATAATTACTTGTAAAACAGAACAAAGTACACAAGAAAAACGGAATTGTAGTTTAAAAAAAAGTTATGATAAAAACATCGTCAGAAAACACTTCGTCCAGGCGTAACGTGGTTATGTTTGCAACTTCTTGTTATAGCGCTCATTACTATATATATATATGCTGACGCAAAAGCAGGAACTTCAAATGACAGTTTGAGACAAGAATGTCGGCGCCTTGGATAAAACTTTATAATTGATGCACATAAAGTTGATGTCGAGATCAGATAGCGATGCGATGATCCTTTGGATCTTAACTTATGCAGAAAAGCAAATCAGAAGATAGATTGGGTGCATTGTCTGAAAACCTTTTGTTATTGCAGTTATTTTTCCAGAAATACTGTCTGTGTTATTCGATCTAGATCTGACGAGATTGTACTTTTCAAGAACACAGTCATTATCTTAAATCTGTAGTTGTGTGTGTAGGATGAATGTCTGTCAAGAACTCGTCGCATTGCGTTGTTTTTTAAACATATATACTTAAGAAGTAATCAAACTTTGTCATAATTATTTATTTACAAACAGTTGTTGTTGTGCTCTTCTTTTCTAATAAGATAAATTTATGTTTATTTTATATGTTCGTGCAAAGCTACACATGGGCCACGTGCGTTAACCCTCCCTCATTTTGAACTGATAAACCAGAGGGAAAGGCAACTAGCCGACAGTAGCTACCACTTGCTGTTTGAATATTCTAATCGAATAATGGAATTTAATCGCCACTTTTATAACTCACTCACGGCAAAAAAAAAAAGAAAAAAGTGTGGAACCCAATTTTGCGTCAACGGGACGTGAACCAAAAACCCTCGAACTTACAGTTCAGCGCGCTAACACTGGGCCATTTTCGGCCCACTATCTGTGAAGTTCTGTATTTTATTTTTCCACATACGTTTCTTACGGAATTGTTTTATGATCTGGTTAACTGGAGGGTGGGGTATATTGTCTCAGTTTTATTAAACATCTATAGTAATATATTTTAAACTGTTATTAAAGAAACATGTACAGGTGGTAATAAATATCTTGGTGGAAAGGAAGCAATTGTTACAAGTGTGCTTGAGCTTTTATATATCCATTGAGTAAAACAGACGTATTCACGTGTTTGTTTTATCCATTTCATTGGACATTTAAAGATGCTGATGTCACTTAGAACAAAAGAAAATACCATCTCAAAGAACATTTAAGATGTCCCCCGGTGGGAAAGTGATACGTTTACTGACTTACAACGCTAAAATCCAGGGTTCGATTCCCCTGCGGTGGATACAGCAGATAGCCTAACGCAACTTTGCTGTAAAAAAAACAACATTTAATATTTTTTGTTACTAAAAGAAAATTTTAATAAATTTTGTGTTTGAATGTCAATCGACAGTTAAAATATCTATCTAAAATATCAATATCTAAATGAAAAAGTGTGCACTACAAAAGACTTTTTACTTTTAATGAACCGTTGAGTAAGAATCAAGAACGTCCTTCAAAATAAACATTTTTGTACAAACTACAGAGGATAGTCGTAGTAAAATGTGTATTCAAAAGAGGTGTAATTATTTGCATAAAACGATCCACTCAAAGTAAGGAGGGATACGTTGTCTATAAGATTTAGTCTTTAATCATGAACTCCATCGAGGCCTTTTTCAGTTCTGAAAGTGGCATGAGATTACTATGTGCTCTTGAACTTAAAAGAATAAATCATTTCTGGATTGTTATCATTTCAATGGCTTACACAAACCATTATATTTAAACTGTTCAGGAATACGTGAGTAAGAGACCCTTGTAAGAAAACAAAATAAAATAAAACGGAAGCTCGTTTGCGTGTTTCTTGGCGTTTTCGAACATAATGTGGGTATTAATGGCTGGAGACGGCTTAAATGGGTAATGAAGAAAAACTTTAATATAAGTTT